TATCTTCAATAATAGTGTCTCTCCCAGTATGTTGAGTGTGAATCCTTCATCTCTGTCCACTGTACATCCTATACATGAAAGGCAAGTATTCAGTGAGAGAACTTGCTTGGTACCACTGGAAAGATCCCTAAAAAGGAGTTGGACACTTAAACTCTGAGAACACACTGGAGATTAAATGAACACTTATCTAAAAACAACCAACCAACCCCACCACCAATAATCAAAGATCTTCACGTACAACTTGTTGCTCCCACAGGGCTCAGAACAGTCTAGTTCTGTAAAAAAAAAAAAAGTCTCCTGTTAAGAGTTTGCTTCAGTAACACTTTCTGTTCCTCTGCAGTAGGTGCATGTTTTCCTCCCATGAAGTACTTGGGTCCAACAATAATATAAACTAGGATCCTGGTGGGTTCTACACACTCTTTGCCTAATGACTTGGCTATCAGCTTTCTAAAGAACATCCAGCATCTCTTTGCAAGCCTCTTGTGGTTTTACTAAAGCTTCCTTGCTCCTCAAGGGAAAGCATGGATTATTTCTCACGCTTTCTCTAAAATATGACTGCAGATGTAATACAGGAAGAGATCTTCATTGGTTTTGAAAATTTATTTGACTTGATGCTCCTGATGTCTGTATCTTTAATATTGTAAGGAAGAGGATTAGTCAGATAAAGCATGTTTCATCCCCAGCAAGTCACATTTGACTAGGAGCACAAGCTCACACTTCAGTTCGCTGAAGTTTTTGTTTCTTTCTCAGCAGCCAAATACATTCTGTTCATGCTTTGTTTTCTGAAATGATGGCAGAACACCATGCCCACTATAACAAACAGGCATACAGGACCTGAAGGTTCTGGATACCTTCCTTTGCCTTTATAAAGGAGGCAGCCTAGATACTAGTTCTGTAGACCCAAAGGCAGAAACCTTGTCTGACTGTACACCCTAGAAAGTTCCTGTCTCATTTGCAGTTAATCCCCTGAAGCAGGAGAGCTATGTGTGATTTTATAAATACCTGAAGCTGTTGTGTTTGTAGTAGGTGTTTCTTCTGGTGCCTCCTCTGCACCCACTCCAAGTGATGTTGGCTTGTGGTGAGGGACCCCCTTAGTGCACGTGGAGACTTATGGAGCTGGCGTGGAAGCTGCCTGTTTGTACTGCAGTAAATGATTAACAGCTGACTTTCCTGCAAAGGTGTGGCTAATCTAATCAAAGGCCTTGAGCTTGTTAAAAAGACCTAGTTGAGCTGTCACCCAGACATTTCTTCTTCTCCATGGCTTCATCCACTTATGTACCTGTTCCAGTCCTTGTAAAGGCCCCCTATGTCCTCTGACTGGGGAGGGCTGCAGGTTGTGGTGGAGAGAAGAGGGCTTTGTTTCCTGGATCTGTATTGTAAGCTCTGTTAGGAGGCTGGCACGTCTAAAATGAGACTGTGAACAAGACTGCCCTCCAGCCCAAACTTCATTGGGACAGTTTAGATGGATAAACTCATTACAGAGCCTTGCACTGTCGTGAGCTGCAACAAAACTGACTCCCTGTTGCTTTCTTCACTGAAGAAGACCAGAGGGATGGTGTTGGAGAGAGGCAGGAGGAGAGTGTGGTGTGTGAGGCTGCACGTGTGTAAAAGGAAACTTGTTTCTCATGAGCCAAGTAAATCACTTTGAAACCAGAGGGGTGATGTTACAGAATAGAAGCTGTTCCATTAAGTCATCAGTAACACTTCAACTGCTTCTGCTGGAGAGGTTGGCCTCACTGGCTCTCCTAGGGAAATAAACTATTTCAACACTTGTATCATCATAACTGAAGTAACTGTATTCCCTTGCAGTTCCTTCTAGGCTCACTCAGGCTTTCACAACATGTACAGAAGTTGCTGTGTTTGAAGCAGCCTTGCTAAACTTTGCTTCTCTGAATCTCCCCTCTGCTTTTTGAAACAGAGAGGATCCATCATCACCAGTGCTCAGGGCATTCCACATCCCTTTATGTGGGTAATGATTGAAGCCAAAAACACAAAAAGCTTGTGTGAGTGGTGAGCAGTGACCCAGAGACTGGCATGTTTCTAGTCAACAGAAACTGAAGAGCTGCAGTAAACTGGGGATTTGCTTGGCATTTTTCAGGCCAACCTGATCTGTTGCATGTAAGAAGGCAGCACACCCCACCCAGGTCAGGCAAGCATTTGGCATATTGAAATACCAAGTATAGGAGTAGTGCAGCTAAATACAATGGTACAAAATGGTACAAAGCAGAACATTAGGCCTGTGAGGTCCAGGAAAGTATGTAGAAATCACTCCACAGACGACTCCTCTACCTAGTGGCTGCTCCTCTTCTCTAGAAAGCCACCTGAATTCTTTAGAAAATTGCTTCATTTTCTCTCTTTCTGTTTTTTTAACAGTGCTGTGTTTATTCTCTGCTTCTAATTCAGGAACTTAACAGTGGCAGAGATAAGACAGGAGCCATTTCTCTTGTCCCCCTGCCTGGTATCTGTCAGGGGTTTAACTTGTACCACAGGGAAACATGTATTTGTAGCTTTTCCTGTTGAGATAAAGCCTGGCAGCTTGTTCCTAGTGACAATGACCTGTCAGTCATTGGTATGTTTCCAGCCTGCTGGGCTTCCTCCTGACTGTTAGCACAGCCTGGTTCCATGCTGCTGAAACATTTCTCAATGGGATTCTGTTAATTCCTGTAGCTGGCACCGTCTAGCACAGGCTGGGAAAGAAAGTAAGCTCTGTTCTTTCACAGGTCTCGTGACTTAATTTAGATACAGAAACATCTGTTGAGTCTGTCCCTTGCAAAAGAGGTTCTGAGACTTCTGTGTCACCTTGATTGCCACTTGTTTGTAAGTGATATGAGCAAAGACAGAGAGGTTAGTGCATCACATCTCTGAATGTTGATGAGAGTGAATTGCTGCCATGCTTGAGCTTATCCTACCCTAACATACTGGCTGGGAGGGAAAGCTTTGGGACAGTGTAATAAAGGCCAGCGCTTCGTTAGTCTCAGTGTAGCTGTGCATGCAGCAGCTGATGCTAGTGCAGTCTCCTCTTGGCAGTTGTCAAGTTGGGATTCAAATATTTATTTTCTAAGGAACATCCTCATCTTCTGTGGGAAAGTGTTTTATTAATTTAAAAGTAACATTGGTAGTTTGAGGATTTTTTTCTTTTTCTTAATTTTTAGACTCTTCTCTGTGTCACTGGCTGCAGATACATTCCAATGCACAGCTGTACAAAAATGCAAAATACCTAAATCTAGTTTTCTTTGCAAACATTAAAGTGCATTAAATACAGGAGAAGCTACTGATCTAATGCACTTTTCAGTAATTTGGGGGCAGGCATCAGAGAAAAGAAGTTTCTTTACAAAGTTTTCAGTTTTTTTGTCCCTTCTGAAGTATGAAGAATATTTAAAAACCCACCGTTACAAAGCTGATGATTCTTTTCTCTAGCTAGGTGATAACTGGCATATACATGTGTAATCAACTCCTCTGCACTTAGCAGCTGGAATACAAGGGTGGAAGATGATTTATCTATACACATGTAACTTTTTATACCCTCTCATAAAGAGGTTTCACATTTGGGGCTGAAACACCAGAGTTAGGTGCAGTAGATTGTCTTCTGTTTGGCTGAGCCTCTTAGGGAAGTCCTGGCCTGTGCCATAGCCTTGTCCTTACATAAATCATAGAATCATAGAATGGTTTGGTTTGGAAGGGACCTTAAAGCTCATCCAGTTCCAACCCCCCTGCCAGCAGCAGGGACACCTTCCACTAGACCAGGTTGCTCAAAGCCTCATCCAGCCTGGCCTTCAACACTTCCAGGGAGGAGCAGCCACAACTTCCTTGGGCAACCTAGGGCAATCCCTTCCTGAAGTTCACTGAGGTGTAAACCAAGTGTACACAGTGGCTGCAGCACAGCAGAGGGATTTATTTGCACTTGTTAACTTCAGCTGTACAGCCCATTCTTGGCTCTGCTCTGTCACAGTGCCCACTGTCAGCTGCTGCACACGTACCCTGAGGTGACACTTCCCATACTGTGTGTGACTCCTCTGAAATGCCTTTGTGTATGGTAAGAAACATACCTTAGGCATAATGTTTATGCCCGCTAAAATAAACTGCACACAGTGCAGGGAGTCAGGAGAAGGATTTTTTCATCTCCCCTGACTCCTGTGCTCTGTCAGGACCGTTCACCTGCAATATGCAGGGGGCAGAACTAACAACCACGCGGCGCAGCGGAGGAGGGAGCGCGTTTAGCAGCAGAATAATCAAATTAAACCATAGCATGGCTGAGGTTTTTTTTTTTTTCCCTTTTGCCTTCATCTTTCTGTTTACAAAGGGTATTGCACACGATCTGATTTTTGTCTCTGGCATTTTCACATCGTTGAAACACCAATGAAATAAAGGAAGGAGCATTTGTTACCAGCTGTACTCAGAGCCTCAGCTGGCAGCTCTGGATCAGGAGTGACATGAATTGTTGTTTTCAGGAGACATCTCAGCTGAACGTGTCTGTTGCACGTGGATTTTAAGAGAGTAGGTTTGAGCTTGATCCAAGATGTACCAGGCACGAGGACCTCCCAGTGATGTCAGTGGGTTTTGCTAGCACCCAGCATCATCCTTCTGGATTAACCCCTTGTGAAGAGAGCAGATGCTGCCCAGTGTGTGGCAGCTTGATGTGTTCTCTGCTTTGGTCTGTGGCTCCGTGCTCACACAGGGAATCCTTGGCTGGCCCAGCTGCAGAGCTGTCCTTGGGAAAGCGTGTCTGTTTTCTCAGCAGCATGTGTCCATGCACCCCCAACCCACCCCAGAAGAGGGAGAAGTGATGCTAGTGTTACCTTTCTGGTCACATCACAGAGCCCAGTAGTAGCTGTCACAGACAGAACGAATTCCAAGCTGTGATTTCTGGTCCTCTGAATCATATTAATTAATATTGTTATTGCCATTTTCAGTGTGCTAGTGTAGAAAGTCATTCCCAGAGGACTGAATCACGATGTCCATGTATGTCCTTGATAGTAGGTTGTGTCACCTCTTGCTGCACTTCATGAATGGGCAGTTGGGCGGACTTGGATCTTCCTACGTCTGTGGTCAGGACGTCCATCGCAGCTACAGCAGCTATAGCAGCAGCAACCACAGGCAATGATCATCAGCACCAGAACAGTAACTGCAGAGAGAAACAAAGGTTGTTGCTTCATCATGTAGGATCAATCACTGGATAGTGACCCTATGTCTCTTCTAAGTTGTTTGATGAGCAGCAGAGTGAACAAAGCCTGGTTTCTTGCTGATTTTTTTTCCCCCTATATCCCCACCTCCCTCCTCCTAAGTTCCTTCCATTTAATCTGGACAGTTGTTACCAGGTATTTCGTGATGTTAAGAGCTATGTGGGGGCATATCTTTACCTGCCTAATGGGCTGTTGTTTTGGAGGTGACATGCAGCAAGTAGAGCTGCGTGCCTGGAAAAGATGGAGATCCAGCTCTCTCCATAGTTGTGTCAGAAGCAACTCAAGAGAACTTGGTTAGTCAAACTGGCAGCTGCATTTCTGAAGAGTACATGCAGTGTACCCTTTAATGAGGATAGATATTGGTGACTGGGTTGGCTTTACTCTTTTGTATTTAGCTTAAGAAAACAGATACTTCAAACAGAGGGTTTTGTTTTGCAGAGCGGTGAGCTAACATTGTTATTTTACCCTAGGCATAATGGTTGGTGCTGGGTATGTTGGTTTATCTGGAATAGAAAAGGACAACACATTTAATACTGAAAAACACATAAGAGTGTGTGAACGTGCACATGTGTGTGCATGTGTTCCTTAAAAGTCTGGAGCTGGACTGCCAGGTTACCAGACCTGTGGGGAACCAGGTGTAAGTATGAAAAAAATAAAGCAGCAGGTGTGTCTTTCTGAATTCCAGCCCAGGGAGGAGTGTCCAGGCTGGATACACACCCTTCCTTTCAGCTGGGAGCAAAGTGTACCTCTTTGAGGGGGAGGGCCTGCCTTCCTTCCTGCTTTTTTTTTCCCCTCATTGTCTAAACAAACTTCATCCCCCTTGATCAAGCAGCTCTTTGTTATTCCTTCCATGCCAACCCCACACAGAGCAGCAGGAGGGACCTTGCCATTACCAGAGGAGAATAAATAGGCTCATCTGAAGCTTCCACTGAACTAAGCACAGGAGTGACACTCTGAGTTAGACTTCAGGTGTCTTCTGTGGCAGTGAGATGCCCTAATACCATTTGTCATAGACCATCTCCTATGCATCAGAACACTGCAGCAGCTCTGGGTTGATTAAAATACTGCTGTTTCAACTAATGCTTAAATATGAGAGCTTTGGGGAAAGCTCTACTGTTGCCTGTCATGCTCTGCATGCATGTAGAGATAGACACTGAGTATTAAAGAATTACCTAGAAATTAAACTGAGCCCCAGAGCACAGCCTGGAAAACAACTGCCAACAACACCAACCCACCAACAAAGACTGTGGAGCAAGCTGCCCCCTGTAGAAGAGAAGAGACATTCTGACACCCCTTTGCTTCCACCCATAAACTCACCGATAAACAGAAGAATCACACAAAAGGACACGATTTCCACAGGGTCAGCCTTGGGCAGTTTCTGGAGCTTAAGGAGAAACTTCTCACCAATGGTTTGCATTTCCTTCAGAAAGCCTCCAGAAGACATTCTGGCTTAACCTCTCCAGGATTTATGCTGTAGAAGAACCAAACAGAGAAGAAACCTTTTCACTGACTAATGCTAGGAAGCTGCCAGCCTTCTTATAGAGCTGGTGATCACAAGGAAAACAAGTTTATCTGGTCTCAGTCCTTGCTCCCAGTAGCTAAGGTGGAGGATTATTAACTGTCTACGTGTTCTGGCACTATTTTAATTTCAAAATCTGGCTTTGAGGGTGCTTTTGTCAGCTGCACTGTTCAGCAAAGGTGAAATGGTGTTTATCCTAAAAGGACACTTACTTCAGCAGGCACAGAGTTAGAACTGGACAGTGCCTGCCCTTGGCTTTCACCCAGGGAAAGTAATTAGTTTTTTTCCAGTTGTGCTAATTTATCCTTCCAGAAAGAAATGCAATTCTAACTCAAGTTGAGTTCCAAATGCTGAACTCCAGTGGAACACAATTTTCAGTTGTTTTTTTTCCTGAGTAACACAAAGTAAACCCCTTTGAAGACTTCCTGCACTTTCAGCTACAGAAAACCCCTTCAAAACCCAAGGCACTTGCTTCACCACCTCTCTACAATACCATTAATAATGTTTTACTGAGTGGTGATATTAAGAGCTAAAGTCTGTGTTCACTGGGGACTGCTGGATGCTTTTCAAGTTCTTACAGATGACTGCAAGTTTTATATGTGTGATAGTTTAACTCCTAACTAGTAGTTTCTAGCTACTAAGAAGAAAATTAACCCTATCCTAGCAAAAACCAGGACAGTATGGTAAGCTAAATGTAGCTTTTTTTTTTTCCTTTTAAGCCACAGTCCATTCTAATGGAGCAATGTATTAATTGAACAGTGGATTTCCACTGATGAGCAAAGCAAAAGCCCCTGGATCTCTTGGGGAGATAACTCCCTTGTGGAGCTAATCCCTCCTGCCCTGCTCAGTGATCTTACACCTTCTTTATTCTCAGAATGATCACCAGGAAATATTGTTACTGAAAATATTATTAGTTTAGTCAAAGTTAGGTGCTTCAGTTTTGCCACCAATATTTGCTGGGTTTTTTTTTTTTCCCCTGTGAGCAAAATTTTGGAAGGCATTGCAACAAGCAAGCTTGCATGAGAGCTACAGAAGTTCAAATTTTGCTTCAGTCAGTAACCAGAATAGGATATTGTTGAGAAATATCCAGAGTTTTACCTGAAAGGAGCGTTTGGACAGGTCAACACTTGGATGGATTAGAACTCTTCCATCATTGTTATATCAGAATGTACTAGCTTGTATGTGTTGTGATAGTCAACACTGCTTTATGGGACTTGAACATTCCAATTTAATATCTTTATCTTGGTGATAACACAAAACCAAATGACCGAGACAGTACTTCCAGAATAAGCCAGCTAGTTCATTACTGCACATCTGGTTTGGTTACTCCAACAAATGGATGCTTGGAGTTCAGTTTTTCTAAACACACTGAGGACAGAGAGACCTTGGCTGTTTCGTTGCATGCTGGGCTTAAATCCTGCAGTGCCAAGTTAAATTACATTTTGTATGTTTATGCAATTCAAAAAGGGTTTTCTTTGTTCTTTTAAATCCAAGTTAAGGAATAAAAATCGGAACCAGCTGGCTTCCTAGGGATGGGGGTGGATGGAAAATCTACATCTACAGAAAGATCTCTGTGCAACTTAGCAGGGAGGCACAGCTGTGGCCTTTTGACCTGAAAAGGTCATTTTTGAGACCAGGGTTAAACAGTTCTTTCCCAATGATTGCCGTGCTCTAAGTGAGCTGCTCCAGAAACGGCTGCGTTCTCCTGTGCACAGTGCTGCGGGATTCTGTGTCAGCAGGTTTCCCATTTTGTTTCCATTCCAAGAGATGGGTGCAGGCAGAGGTGAGTTGTGTTTTCTGCTCTTGGCTCTAGAAGAAAAACTTTCCTTTTTTTTCTCCTTTTTTTCTTTTTTCCTTTTTTCTTTTTTTTTCCTCCTCCTTCCTTCCTCCTCCTTCCTTCCTCCTCCTTCCTTCCTCCTCCTTCCTTCCTCCTTCCTTCCTTCCTCCTTCCTTCCTTCCTCCTTCCTTCCTTCCTCCTCCTTTTTTTTTCTTTTTTTTTCTTTTTTTTAAATAAGTATTTCTGACTCTAACATTCTGAAATGTTTGTTCTCTTTGGGGGTGTTTCTGCCTGCCCAGAAGTTCTCCTAGTAAGGAATCTGCTGTAACCTTTCACACCGTGCTTTGAGCTGCACCACAAGTAAAAGAGAGCTGGGTTTCTGAGGTTTGGGTATCTGGGGTAAAACTACTGATTAGGATTGTGGAACTCCCTGTGGATTAGCAAAGTGCTTCACCTAAAATAGCAAGAGCTTGTAGTCTCAGTAGTGGACATTCCTCAGCCCCGTGGTACCTGATCTGGAGCAAAGTGAAGGAGTTTTTATTCTAAAACTTGCAAGGAATGTTGCTTGTTTACCTTGGTTTGAACTTCTTCAGGGACAAAGTTTGATGGTGGTGGTGCAGTCTCCAGCTTGCCCGTGAGGAAGCAAATCTTTTTCTGCTCGACTGCACTTCTGACTGCACATTGGTTACAAGGGCTCTCGCTGCTTTGGGATTTCTGCTTGTGGAGTGTAGCAAAAGTGTGAAGAATAAATAACTTCTTTAAAAAGAAAAAGAAAAGAAAAAGAAAAAGTAAAACTCCCCCAGGAAAGCCTGTTATATTCATGGACTTTTGTATCTTCCATCCTACCTGTGATGTAATGTTTTTGGTCAGGACTAGTTTTGATTGTAGTCTTTTCCCAACTGATTTCAGCAGAACTAAGATCTTACCCTGGTAAGTGTAAAGCTTGTGCTGTGTGACTTAAACTAAGTTGTCTTATGCAGCTGCCTGATCTTCCTCATGTGCAACACAACAGCGATGACATGACATGGAGTGGAGCTCTGAATCTCTTTTTTTATGATTACTATATTGTGTTCAAGTAAGCTCCCTGTCACCACCAGCAGTGAAGGCCAGGTGGTGCAGGATATTTGGTTGAAGCAGTAGCTGTAATGATTATTATTAAAATGGGCAAGTCTTGAGAGATTTGAAACTTTGGGTTGTAGGTCTTTAACTGACAGTTTACTTTCTAAGACTGAAGTGCTGTTCTAGAGCCTAGAACAGCCACCCAAGTCGGTACCTCACAGAGGGTTTGTGGGGTTTGGAGCCATCCTAATTGTCTGCCAGTGTTTTTCTCAATTGGGAATTTCTCCTTGCTCATTGTCCTTCCTCCAAACCACAGCCACTGTGGATGGGAACCCTCCAGAGCAGAGGAGACCTGGCTGTTAGGGCAGCAGAGCTGATGGAACTTGTTAAGGAAGAAATGTTGAATGACCACAGTGCAATGGAGTCTTCATAACGCGTTGTTAGACTCATGTCATGAACTCTTGCCCCACAGCTGTAGCTAGAGATTATATGAAGTGAAAATAAGGTGAAGAGAGGCAAGATGAGAAAATCACACAGAAAACAAAGTGAACACAATGCTGATGTCTTGTGACAGGCAGTTTGGAAGTCTCTGCTGGGTGGCAGCCTGAAATTCGTGGTTTCAGCTGTTTCTTCTTCTGGTTGTTCTTTTAAAAATTAACTCATCTATCCAGCGTTGCCTGTGGGCCTAGATCATCAAATCTTTCTGCCATCCTCTATGTTACAAGGCCTGGCAGGGGAAGGAATAAAAGAATTTTTAAAATTTGGTTTTATTTGGTTTTGAGGGGGAAAAAAAGGCTGAATCTGCCACGTGCTATGAGTTGTTAGGAGTTGTGAGCCTTGGTTGCAAAGAGAGAGCACAGTCATAATTCAGGGGGATGCCTGATGTCTGCTGGCCTGATGCTCAGCTGCAAGGATTAAAGGAGCCTGTCAAACCAAAGCAGCATGTCCTACATTTAGGACTTCTGTAGATTTTTAGATTCCCAGAAAGTGCTATCACTTGTTTTTAATGCAGATTCATCTTGCTGTGCCCACTGAATAAAGCTGTGAAAATTGCCATAATAGCACTGAAATTATCTTCCTGAACTGTTTTAATGGACTTACGCCGTCCTGAAGCACTCAAAGAAGTTGGCTGCTCAGCCCTTTTGAGAATAAAGCTGTTAAAAGGCCTCAATCTAGACATTCAAGAGAAAAGCCTTGGTCAGGGTTTCTTTGTACTGTGAACCCTCTATGTGTTGTAGCTTCTGGGCTTCAAGCAAGAAAAAGAGCTTTGGGATGACCATGTAAGGTGGGGTCCCACATCCCCCTGCTTTAAGCTAGTCAAGTTGCTTTAAGTATTTTGGAATTGATGTAAATTATTGGGGTTTTTTTTGGTCTGTCTTTGGTTTGGAAAGATGTCTCCCATCTGTGTGTCTACACAGGTGCATTAGAAGTTGAACTGTAGGGAGTGGGTGAGCTTCAATTTACTGCTGAGGAATGAGACACTTGTTTAGTCATAACCCTGGTGGCATTTGAGCAGCTTATTTCAGTGCAAAGAACGGGAATTTGAGTTTGTGGTTTAGTCCCAGGACTGGAAGTTAGTAAGTGCAGGCAGTCTTTCTGGCCTGCCAGTGATGCTTACTGGTTGTGTGACTCTGGATAAGTCATCCCATCTCTTTGTTGGGTGACTTCATCTCTGCAGAGCATCTAACCACTGTCACAGGGGTTTTTTGCTAATTGTTGTGTGTCCAAGTCTCTAACATGCTCTGAAATCTTTAGATAGAAAGGCAGCGAGTCCCTCCTTCTGTTGCAGTTACAAAATGAAATGACCTTTGCTTGCAAACTGCTTGTTCCACTTCAGGCACTGAGCCTGTTGAGGATGAGAGCAGGTGAAAGCATGGCTTCTGCTGTTGGTTGCTTCTTACCCAGTCATGCCCCACAGGGTTTATTTCTCTTGAGATGACCCCAACCAATGGTTTTACTGTGCTCCCTCTGAGAACCTCTGCTTGCGTGGGTTTATCTCTACAGTAATCTAAAAATGGAGATGAAGCTTTGGAAGGGGCGATCTGTTGATGGTGCCCTGAAGCTGCCAGTGCTTCTAGTCCTCATGCAG